AATATACATTTTATTTTTCTTATTTTAGCTTAAGAATTTTATAAATTTCATTTTTTATTTAAAAAACTATTATTTATAAATTATGTTTAAAGTTATTTGTTTTTGAATTCATAAAATATGAAACTATATTTTGTTTTATTTACAGATTTGAAAACAAAGATTTTAGAAGTGTTCTCTAAATTACATTGTTAATTTATAAAATTTGTTTTCTAATATGGAAATTGTTATTTAGAGTAGTGAACTTTGTTTTCCCTATTTATTACACATGAATGCACATTAGTATTTTGACGGAATTATTGACAGAGGACCAAAATTGTTCATATCATAATAAGGGTGTTCAAAATATCACAAATTTTTTATAGAGAACTAAAATTGTCCAAGTCACAATAAGTTTAGGACCAAAAAGAAAATTCACCCCATTTTTAAAGTAAAAGTACAAATATTAATCTTAGTAACAATATTAAGTGATGATGAGTGTGAGTTGATGGACATCGTAGTAGAGATGTAACGGTGGGATAAAATAAACCATAAAATGGTGGCAAGTGTAGTAATTGTAATTGTCGGTAAGTACCTAATTATTAGGTATTGGTATCTAACTGTTTGGGAATATAGATAGGTGGCTGGGAGAGTTAATTCCATATTTAATTATATTCTTAAATTTAATTTTTAACTAATACTTTCATAATATGTCATCTTTGGTTTTAATGGCAATTACAAATATAGTTTTTCATTACCAATTCCGTCTTATATCACCGTAAAATTTGGATGCTAAAAGATATAATACTATTTTTATCACAGAATGACTAAATTGACTAATGTTAGAAAGATTTAAGGATCAAATTTGTTTAAATTAAAAATTAAGAATTGCATTGCATATCTGCTAATAATTGAAAGATTAAAAGTGTGATTTCTCCTAAAATATATTTTGTGTTACTAAATCAATCTTTGTTTTAATTGAAACTTCTTTACTTATAAAATAATGAGTATTTATGTGTTGAATGTTGTGTCTAAATAAGAGTACTAAATAAAAATTCGTCATTGACAAATGTAAACTTTGATAACCCCATCACTAACTACTACAAATAAGACCTTTAACGTCGGTTTTTTGACACATTTAACGTCAGATTTCATTCGACGTCGTTCTTCCAGACGTAGTACATAACTGTAGCAGTGGCGGCGACGGTGTGGCGGCGGTGTAGCGAGTGACAACGGCTGTAGCGGTGGGGCGGGCGAATGGAAGTAGAGTGTGGAAGAAGAAGATGTGTGTTGTGTGAAGGTATTTTGTTCGAATGAAGTAGCAAACGGCGGCTTAAACAAAATACGAAATAATAAGGTTGAAATAAGTATACGACGTCGGTTAACTATAGACCGACGTCGTATACTTAAATATTTTTTTTTAAATAAAGGATACAACGTCGGTGGTTAATAAGAACCGACATCGTATCTTTAATAATAAATTTTTTTTTAAAAAAAGTGTAAACTATACGACGTCGGCTACCTTTGAGCCAACGTCGTATATTATATTTATTTATTTTTTTTAATTAATGAGGTACGGCGTCAGTTATAGGTCTAACAGACGTCGTATTCTTTGTAATTTTTTTTAAGACATATAACGTCGGTTTTTTGAAGAAACCGACGTTATATGTCTTTTTTAAAAAATTACAAATTATTTTAATTTTTTAACGTCGGTTTATTAAAAAATCGACGTTATATTGCTGACGTTGTAAATGATTTCTGTAGTAGTGATGAGGTAATAATTTACTTTTTGAATCCTTAACTTTCAATAAAATGAGACAATTGGTAACAAATTAAAATCCAAATTTGGAAGTGTCTCAGAACTACGACATTAGGTGCTTGGTGCCCATAAGGAGTCACATCACAAGATAGTGGAATTCTCACACTACGATTAATAGGGCTCGATTTTGCGTCATTGCCTACAATCTGTCACCCAAGAACCAATTGAGCTACTTGTGCAGGCAACTCAAACCCCCTAATTATAAACCCCATCTGTCTCATTTTATTTGTCCTACTTATTTATTGGTCAAACCAATTCATTATTCTTTACTTGTTTTAATTAGTATTTACTTATAATTTTTAAATTTGATATTTTGTGTTTAATAATTAATAGTACTTTTAAGAGTTAATTTCACTTTGGTCCTATGATTATTGGGGTCTTGTTAATTTCGCTCCATGAGTTTCAAAACTATGCATTTTTTCTCAATTTTAGTTCATTCAGCCAAATTTCCGACAAAAAATAACTAAAAAGATAAATTTACCCTCAAAATTTTAAAATAATAACTTAAAATTTTTTTTTCCGCCTGTTGTCGTCGGCAACATTTCTCCAGTTTGTCCTCTGTTTGAATCTGCGACTTGAATTCATGGTTGAACAACTAAAGCTCCACTTATGTTGCACTACTGGAAATTCTGAAATTTCCGACCACCTGAAAATGATCTTAAATTAAGTTGATACCAAAAAGTTCAAAAAGTGGTCGGAAATAGCAACAAAGGTTTTTCCGGATACCAAAAGTGGTCGGAACAAGACTTTCAACTTGATTTAAGATCAATTTCAGGTGGTCGGAAATTTCAGAATTTCCAGTAGTGTTGGAACCGGGTCCACAACAAAAACATCATTGGACCCGGTTCTTGCCCTTTAGTATACAAGATCTTGAGTGACTTGGGTAGTTAGTGTTTGTGTTATTAAGTGTGAGATTGTGGATTTGATACCTCTTGGTAACACCTCTTATAATATTTTGCTCTAAGCTTCTTTCTTTTCTTAGCCCAATAGATTTTCATTATTCTTATTGGGACAACACCTCACCCATAAAGATGGACACTCAGCTTAGACGGTTGGGCCAAGACTTTTCCAACAAAATGGCCTCTCGAAGTCCCATGTCCTCATCAATCATCATATACGAAAAAACATGCAACTTACAAAGTATAAAATACAATTTTATAGAACACAATATTATTGTATATATAGACGTATAGTAATCTCTGTAATATTGTAAAACTATATCCTATTATCTTAATGTAATAAGTGTTTGAAAAGAACATTGAATAAGTATTCAGTCAAACATATAACAACTTTAAAAAAAAAAAAAAAAAAAAAAAAAAAAAACAAATTCATGTATAAAAACATATACTTTTGCAAAAGTTGCAAAATTAACAAGCACTAATATAATAGATATGATTTGTTTTTATATTCCCCATAAATGAATGTGAGCCATGAATTAAAGTAATAAGGAGGGCCCTAGACCCACCAAATTTGCCACTAAATGATAATTATAAAGAAATAAAGCTGAAAGCATGGGTGGTTAATAAACCTATTAAATAGAAACCAAAATGTTTAGAACAAAATGTGTAATTAAGGATGCATGCATGTGAGATATCGATTAAAAAGTATTAAAGTAATGTTTTTACAAGGTCGCTTTAACCCTAGTCCAAATGGCCCCTTGGAGAGTAATTGAAGCACCATTGCAATCATTCTTAATTTTTGTTCAAAACATATTTTAAAAAGTTCAAAGTAAAAGAAGATGAACAATTCTTTGATTTACGGAAAAGACTGTAGCCATCTCACTACTCAATGGTGTACAGTGTATGTGCACTCAAGATTATAAAACTCGTCTTGTGACCAAAGGACCATAAGGAGGTCGGTAAACCAACTCAGATTGTCCATATATAACTAGTTGGTTCAAACAAAAAAGACTAATAGACAACTCACACTGCAAGTCAAACTTGAAACCTTGTGATTATTAAGTTAACTATTTGACCAACTTGGCCAATAGACGACTCCCACAAGGAAGATAAACACTACTTATATAAATAATATAAGGGTATATAAGTTCTTTTCTTGTTTATTGTATGCAGGATAATAATGATATGCTATGTTATAATTTATTAGAAAATTTTTCATTTGTCATATTTCTCTTCTAAAAATTCACAAAAACACTTTAAAATGGTTTGAGACCTTTTTATTATTATTATTATTATTATTTTTTTTTTTTTTTTTTTTTTTTTTTTTTGAAAACTCTGGTTCTACAAGGAAAAAAAAAACATTTAAATCAAGTATTTACTTGAATTTAGTCAATAAGGGCCACGTACACAAAACTCAAACTCGAGATTATGGTTATTTTAAAAAAGGTTCACGCAATCTCATCCACACCTTAGTATATGTTATAAATGTATTTCAAATATTTATTAAAAATAAAACTAAATTAAAAAATTATTTTTAAATTATAATTACCTCATTTTCTCGTATCTCATTTTTCGCTTTCCGGCCGTTTTCATTTTCGTGTAGCCACATATAGAGCGAAGAAGCGTGAATCATATTAAAGCTGCTTTTTCTTTTCGTAGCATTTTATCCTTTATAGCTCCAACTCATGCGATAAGCATGCATGCATGTTTAGATTCAACTCTTATGCTACCTACCTACTTTAGTTATTAATTTAGAGTTACTATAATTTGATACCGTTTGTCAAGCACCTTCTGCTTAGATGCCACCTCTGTAGCTCCCCTTGAGAAAGGTTATAGGATCGAACCCCAGTGGTTGGGTATTGACTCTTTAGGCTACAGTACTCAGAGAAAGTATAAAACAGATACTACCATGTAATAAAGCCAATAGTACCATGAAGAGTTAATAAAAGAGAAAGTGTAATACATATTATTTTGAGATAAATTGATTGATTGTTACTTAGGGCATCCACATTTCACAACCTTTCTTTCTTAGATTATCTCTCCATTATGTGGGCTCAATTCCTCCACATCACTATATAATCTCATCCCTTATTTAATTTTTTTCTCCAATCTTTATGTTGTGCGTAACAACAAAAATAAATACCTGGAAGGAAGCTCGCGATGTGTCGTTGCTTTAGTACAAAAACCGACAGCGTTCTGTGTCGTGTTTGGCAACACTATCTTAAAGATATTTAACGACCAGGGTATCGTTATATCTTCGACTGACAGCACAGGAACAAATAAACAGCTCAATTTCAGAACTTAGGGACTAGGAATTTCGTGTTGGAGTGAATTGTTTCGTTGTTCAGCCTGAAGTGACACTGCCAAATGCTTTATTTATAATGGTTTGTGCACTTGCGTGTGAACAGTCAGCATAAGATTAGGCTTTGTATGGCCAAGCATCATGCAACCAATGCTGGCCACTTAATTTGTGCAGACAAATTAAGAGATGATCTACTAAAATAGGGATCAAAATAAAGGCTGAGCAACAAAACTTTCCACACCTCGCACGCTGAGCTGGGCGGGCGGCGGCGCGCGCGGGGTTTTCCCCTCGTTCCCTCTCCATAACACTTCAAGCCTTCTCTAGGGAGTTCAAGTATATAAGGGAAGGAAAGGAAAGCTAGCAAAGCAATGTGGGACATTCACTTTAAGCGAATGACTATTAAATGAGTTCCCACTTGAAGCCTTTGCTTTGAATGTTTTCCAACAATCCCCCACACATTCGAAGGTGTAAGGCGTGACCGAGAGCAGCTGAGCGTAACAAACAAGAGTTAGTTTTCATGTCAGTATGTTAGACTTGAACTGACAAGTAGTGGCACTAAGTAATCCAATATCCGAGAGTGAACAGAACCTTGAACTCTTCGGCTAGTTGAATGTTGAACTTATGTGCACCTCGTTAGCTCCATTTGTTGTACATTTTGTATAGTTATTTGATAACCATGTATTAACCATGTTTTGTCGGTCTCAGCATAGACATTCCACTCCACCGAGTGTACTTCATCATAGATTGCCAATCGTGGACAATATGCTTATAAATGCGAGTCTTTCCATGATTTCGTTTGACCACCGAGGTGGTATCCATCATGAATTTCTCACGTCATTGGCTTTTAAGCCCATCTCCCTTTATGTATCAAGGATAGCCTTTCGATTTAGGCCTTTTGTGAAAGGATCAGCTATATTTCTTTCAGATCTCACAAACTCCATTGTGATTACCTCATTCAATATTAACCGATGTACAGACTCATGTCTGACTCTAATGTGTCTAAATCTAATTTGATTGTTTAGATTTCTGTAATGCTTTTAATTCCTGTAGCATTGATTTTTTGTACGTAGGCTTATATGTGAAGCAATGTTTGACGATTGCACCCGCATGGGCAGCTCAACTGGTTACAGAGGTGAAACTTTGGAAGAATGACCAGGGATCGAGTCTCACCGACCCCAGTGTGGGAGCAACCTTTCAAAGTGAGGGGGGTTCCTTGTACGCAGTGAGAACATGTCTAGCCTCTGTGGTATGTTCAGTTGAGTTACCATGATTTACATCCTCCCAAAATGCTTTGTCGGGTCGGGGGTCCCAGTGTGGGAGCAACCTTTCAAAGTGAGGGGATGCTTTGTCGGGTCGGGGAAGTGAGGGGGGTTCTTTGTGCGCATGTTTGACGATTGCTAGTGATATGGGGACCGTTACTGTGGCCCATGTCAGGAGAACAACGAATCGTGTGGCTCATGAGCTTGCTCGGGCAACCGTTTCTGAATCTGTCTCGGGGGTGTGGGTGGTTGCCCCACCGTCTTGTATTGTTGGTTTATTGAATCATTAATGAAGGTTTCTTTGTTTCAAAAAAAAAAAAAAAAAAAACGCCATTTTTAGACTATGGTTCACACAATAACAATTCCTCATTTTGCCTAACCATTTGCTCAATTAATTTGCTAACTACCTTTCCTGATCCATATGATGCTATGATCTGGGGCGGTCCAATATTTTAAAATTAGGCTAGAACGTGCATTAACGACCCAGTAGCCCAATAAAAGCCCAAACTTTGAACTGACAGTGACGCCATCCATTTCACAGTTTCGTTCTCAGGACACGGGGGTGAGAGTGTGTACTCGCCACTGCCTAGCAGAAAATCTCCGGATTTCTGGCCGGTGATATAACGGCGGCGCAATTTTGAGCTCTTCCGGTGGCCATCTTCCGGTAATCTTGCGGTTCCTTTAGATTATCCTTCTTTCTCGCTAGCCCTAATTTTACAATTTGCAGCGAGAATGAGCATTTTTCTTCCTTGAATAAGAACAACAAAAAAATGGCTTCAGTTTGGACTCTTCAATTTCATACGGTCTCATTTCAGGTAATAATTGATTCGAAGCCCTCTTCTTAATAACCTAGTTTGTACTTGACTGATACTTCTGGGAGTTCTGGATGTATTAATCCGTTTTTGTTATCCATTGAAGCATCGAGTTTCGCCAAGCCTGCTAGAATTCAGAGCACGATTTTGGCTCCACCGCGGCTACAATAGCTTCAATAGAAGCTATATTTTCAAAAGGATTGAATTAAGAGCTGCACGCAATTCATTGAATGGTGATGATGTCAGGCAACTTCCGGAGGAAAGCAACGTTGTTGAATCTAAGAATAAGATTATACTGATTCCGAAAAATGTGATTACTAAATTGCAAGTGACTGTTGGCTCTTGCCCTCCCATCGTTTTCTTGGTAAATTTCTTGGACATTGTTTTCTGTGGGACTACATCTTTGGTGCTTACTAGGTTTCCATTTATTGTTTTAGTTTGAATTGCAATAATTATCGGTTTAGTTCAAGTGTCACTTAGTTTGAGAGGTTAAATAAAGGATTATTGTTTTTCTAATCGACCTATTAGAATTGACTCAAAAGTTCATGCAAGTATATGCTACTTTGGCCCGAGATATTCCAGTATCGAGTAAGAACATTGTGCTTTGATTAATTCAGAGTCCAATTTATTGTTAGAATGCTCTGTTATAATTAGCTATGGATTTCGCTAGTGGCAAAAGAATAGGTAGGCCTTGAAACAATTACATCAGAGCTTGAACAATGGTTTGTGATGGTGATATATTGCTACTCTGATCTGATCGAAAACACAAAAAGATTGGGGTGATGGTTTTACATTGTCTTTATACTCATATTTATACTATCTCTTTGCAGACAAAAAAGCATCCGAGTGCTGGGTTTGCAGTTGGTATATTTGTGATAGCAACTTTGCTGATTATTGCTGTGAGAAATCACATGTTGAGAAAATCAAGATATAGCAGTCCTGGCACGGTGGCTGATCTCGTTCGGCGTGGTCAATTGAGATCTGATAGAAGAGGCATGTATGGCTCTGAACTTTTAATCTGTGTTGTTATCTTGTTGAAGACTTATAGCTCCTCTAGAAAACTACCATGAGTATGTTTTGTACTTTAGTTATAGTTATGTTAGTTAAGGTTGTTACTGGTTGTGTGGATATTAATTTGCTACCTCAAATGACTATTTCTTGAATATCCTCCTCTCTAGGAACATTATTTTAGAGTATGATTGATCAAGTATTGCTAATTCATGGTAGCTTTGAATTTGTAGTCTTACTCATTCCTTAATTCATTTTTGTCTTGAAATTGCAGCTCTAGTCCTCTTAAGTATGAAGACCCATTTAATAACCCAATGGTTAAGGTCAGTAAGAGCAATTCAACTGTTGAGATGGGTGGCAAAGTGTACCGTTTAGCACCAGTTACTCTTACAAGGGAACAACAAGCGATACATCAGAAAAGGAGGTCGCGTGCCTATCAGTGGAAGAGGCCGACATTGTTTCTTAGGGAAGGTGATTCAATACCTCCTGATGTGGACCCTGATACGATCAGGTGGATTCCAGCAAATCATCCTTTTGCAACCACAGAAAGTGAGATTGATGAAGATCTGGCACAAAATAATGTTTATCAAAAGCATGGCGTTCCGTTTCGTATCCAGGCAGAGCATGAGGCTCTGCAGAGAAAGCTTGAGGCACTTCAAAGTGTAAGTGTTTGTTAATACGTCAATTTCCAATGTGACAGTTGGCATATTTTTGGATTCAAAGACAAAAGGTTAGTTTGAATTATGGAAGTTTGTTAGTACAAAGTGTCAAATAACATGGCATTTCCCAAAAGCCAAAGTGCCTCACATAAGGTGAGATTAAAAGTTAGGAATTATTCAATTCTGACCTTTTGCACGCGTATTAGGTAATTTTTTTTCTTCCCAACATTATTTCAACTAATAATGTATTTGATTCTATGGGTCTCATTTTGGAAAGCTTGTGATCATGATTCTTGAATTGTCCATACTCATCTCTAAGTTAGTTATCAATTGTTGGTTTAAATAACCCAGAAAGTTCTATATTATTTATCGTCTATAATCTTTGCCATTGCATATAAAAGGTATATGATATGATTATGAAATTTGATATATTGGTCCTGATACCATGTGATTTATTGATTGTGACAGGAGCAGAAACTTAACAAACTAGTAATAGACCCTGCCACTGCCAAAGATTTTGAGAGGCCATTTAAAGCAAGAATGAAGTCAGAGGATCAGATTGAACAGAGCCCACACAATCGTCAGATGGGATCTAAGTTTTCTGAGCCAAATCCTGCCCGAGATTCTAGTGCAAGCAAACCGGCTACTGAGGAGACGCAGAAGCCTTAGGCACATCATTTGCTTGCAACTACGAGATTTTGATATGTAACATAAGAAAAGCGCGTTCCTTTTTCTAGCCTAGACGCGGTGAACCACATATTGAGTTGAAAAGATGTATGTCTGTATGTATAGGAATGTCGACAAGAACAGTATGTGTGTGTGCCATCTTTTACTAGAACAAGAACAGTATGGTTTTGCAAGTGGATAATACAATACTTCTTTGCCTCTCTTATATATTCTCTATTTATTTATTCTTTCATTTTCATTTAGGCAAGCTGTGTAAGCAAAATAGACAAGTTTTCTCCTTTTATGTTTATAGCATTTTGTAGGATAATAATGGTGTTATGGGCTGAGGTGATGTTTCCCGGATGCAATGATTGAATTTTATACTAAAAGGAGATTGGTGAATAATAGGTGAGATAAGTAAATAATAGGATATACTAAAGGAGGTAAAGTAGAAGAAGTTATTACCTTATATATACTACTCCGTATATATTAATGAGATAATTTACTATTTTGTGGGGTCCATAAAAAAACTCAAAATTTGCAAGAGCAACTCACTCATTCTTTCTCTTCCCTCTCTTTCAGTCTTTCCTCCACCTCACTCATCTCTAGGGGTGCGGTTAACCGAACCGAATTAACCGAAATTTTTTTTCCTTTAACCGTTAATTGAACCGAAGTTTGCTCTACCGAATTCACCGAACCGATATTTTTTTCGGTTAACCGATTAACCGAACTTTTAAAGCTCAAATTTAAAATTCTAAAAATAACACCTAAAATAATAAATTCAATTAAAATAAAATAAATATCATAATAAATTCATAACAAAATATAAAAAACATGAATTATAAACTCCAAACATCCATAACTTCAAATTAATATTTATATTTATATTATTATTTATATATATATATTAAAAACTTCGGTTAACCGTTCAGTTAATTCGGTTAACCGACCTTTCGAACTGAATTAACCATTAACCGAAGTTTTAAAATTCCTTTAACCATTAACCGAACCGAAAAAGTTCGGTTCGAAAACGGTTAACCGAACTTTGTCGGTTCGATCGGTTAACCGAAAATTATCCGAAGTTTGCACACCCCTACTCATCTCTCCTTAAAATCTGTTTCATAATTCCCCTAATGGGGATAAATAGCAAAGAAGACAGACGAGCAACTGTATTACTTTTGAATTCTATCATTTTACTATATTACTTTTATTGCTTTACTTTAGAACTTTTCATATGGGTAAAAGTTTAACGTTTATTTACTATGTAAGCAATGATGTAATCTATTTGTAAAATTAAAAAAATAAAAAATTTCAAGATTCTCTTATATAAAGAACCTCGATGTGAATAAAATTATCAGATTTTCTACACAAAAAATTTCTCCCGTAATCTTACCTATGATCTTCTAAAGTCTAAACACTCTCCCTCTATAACGTGAAATCAAGAACTCAAACATACTATTCATAGAGATATTACTCTAAAAGTTGTTAAACAAATTAAATGTTGATTGAAACTAAGTGTAGGTCCGTTGTGGAATATGCGTAAATAAGTGATGTGATGGAATCCGATGAAGCAGACATTAGTGGAGTGTATTGCAAAGTAAAAAGTGAGTCCTCAATGATGAAGCAGGTGACTGGCCGGGATCATACTGAAAACTTGAAAAGACCTAAGTGTGCCCAGATTCTAAGTGTCTTTGCATCTCTGCCAGCTTGTTTTCTTGTTCTTTACTTGCTAATTACAAACAAATTGCCACTCAATTCCTTCTCAAAACATCATGCTTTTACCGCTGAAAATTATTATATTATTTGTACCGCATGTTTGGTACACAGAATCACGTTTGGTTCGCTGAAAAATATTTGAAGAGAAATGGAATTCAAATTCCATGGAAAACAAATTACCAGGAAAATAGATTTCATTGTTTGGTTAGTGGAAAAGAAATTATTGGGAATATGAATTCCATTGTTTGGTTGAGTTTGGAAAGGTAAGGAATTATGAATATAAAGACCAATATGCCCTTAACAATAATTTATACATATGTAGTTAATAAATTTTGATGAGGGCAAAATAGTCTATAGTACTATATTTTCTTCCCAACTCATTTGGAAAACAAAATACCAATGTTTAGGTAGAATTTTCTTTTCCTTCACCTTTGGGAAGTCAAATTCTCATGGAAAAGATTTTCCATCCAACCAAACAAGGTAAAACATCATTTTCCTACATTTCATGGAAAATCTTTTCCATGGAATTTGATTTCCATCCAACCAAACATCCCCTTAGGGTGTATTTGGAAATCAAAAAAAAATAACTTCTCTGAATAATATTTTCCACAAAATTATTAAGGACATATGAGGCTCACATTATTCATCTGTGTATTTGTTCTAATTTAGCTCCTTTTGAATAGTTGTATTGGTTAGATTAGTTGTTGTAACTTACAATATTTATAGCTATTTGAGCTTGCACTAATAAACTACTGAGTTTATAAACTCTATAAAAATGAGTCATTTTCTAAACAAATATTTTTATTCTTCGTGTTTAGTGTGTTTGGTTCATTCTTACTAGCGGGTGAAAAAAAAAAAAAAAAAAAAAAAAAAAAAAAAAAAAAACATGACTTTAAAACTAATTATTGGGGAAACACGTAAAGTACATGAAAGATGCATGAGTTTACTTGGCTTTTGGTAGTATACAACGTTGTTGATCCGAATTTCAAGACAAGTCAAATGATGAACCCAAAAATAAAAAAATTAAAAATTAAAAAAATTTATAAAAAAAAAACCCACAAACCAATGAGATTGAAGCACACAATTACACAAATGCCAAGGCATACCATATGCTTTCGATTTTGATATTTCTTTAATTTATTAATATTCAAGAATATGTTTATTTACGTTGATCAATAAACTCGTTTAACAAAACTAAAAGCAAATGATGATAATATTCTGACAAGAATATAAAGGTCTCCTTTGATTCACAGGTTTTGAACCCTATAATCATTTTCCAAATTAAATTACCTATTTATTTTATTATTTTTGAGCATTTTGAAATGGCATTCAAATCATAAAAGATTTTTAAAAAAGATTTTTGAGTCAAGTAACTTGTTGTTCAATAACATTTTTATAATTTATTCAAATGTGAGGTTACAAGTTTGAACCCTAGTGGAGACATGCACACACATACTCTTTGTATTTGATTTCAATTTTGATATCCCAAATTAAAATGTATTTGGTTTCACAAGTTGTAGTATTAGTTTATGCATTTTATTTTATTTTTGTACACCTGCAATTTTTTTTATTTTACCATTTTAATTTTTCATTTTTCCCTTTAAGTGGTTAACCTCATTAAATATAACAGTTTGTATACTATGTTTATTTTTGTTTCCTAAAAAAATGTTTATTTTTGTGTTTACTTACAAATTGTTTATGATTTTACATTTTTTTTTCTTTGTTTAATATATATATAAGTGGCGGGCTGCTATTTAGGAAACACACCCCTACCTAAGTAGGAAGCGGAACGGGTCAAACGGGCGGGCAAAATCCGTTTTGACAGCTCTATGGAAAAGTGCTGGCCATAGTAGTTTTTTCATACGAAAAAATCAAGTAGATTAATCTCTGATTACACTGAGTTAGTTGAATTAAGGGGCAAAGTGCTGACCATAGTGATTTTTTCATACGAAAAAATCAAGTAGGTGACTGAACTTTTAAAAGTTTCAATTAAACACACAAGTCACCAACATGTCATTTTTATGCATCAACGCCCACAAACCAATTATTCACCTGTAATAGCTTATTATTACGTTCCTGCGACCGGTTGCCTCGCTATTGAAGAAGGCGACCTGCTTTTCGCCTTATTCCTCAAAGAAAGCGACCAACAGTCACTTCCTTTACTAAAGAAGACAACCTGCTAGTCACTTTCTTCCTCAAAAGAAGCAACCGGTTGTTGGTCACTGGTTTTGCTCGACGAAACTAATAACCATTTATTACAGGTGAATAATCAATTCTTTGCTAATGATGTGCAAAAATAACATGTTGATATGTTTAATTGTAACTTTTAAAAGTTCAATAACCTAACTAATTAATTTTTTGTATAAAGTTCAAGACCAATTTAAACATTTTATCTAATAATTATAACATTAGTGACAAGAACACATGCATTTGTCCTAACATTGATTAGATATTAAGGTTTGTTAGTTTTGGGCAAATTCATTTTGGCATTTATCAACATTTATGAGATTTTTTCTCTATATAAGAAGACAGATGTATTTGTCTCACATGACTGAAATATCCATGTTTGCATGTCTGTTACTATTGAAGTATTGGTTCTCTGTGTAAAAGGATAAATGGAAATATGCATTTGACATTTGCCTAAATGGGTTTTATTTCTCTTTTAATGTTTTGATTTTTAATTTAATTTTAAATTTTAAATATCAACAAACTTGCTTATTAAAAAATAGCTTATTTGTACCCGTTACATGACCTAAAGTTATTACTCTCACAAGTCAATGACAAGAGCTTAAGATTAGTCTACCTTAAAAGTAATAATAGCTCATTTTTATTTAAATTTTGGAAAATGGTAATTTCCACTCTTGAATTATGTCCCTATTACATAATTAATCCCTTAGTAATATGCGAGGTAAATTTCGTCCTTAAATTTTTGTCTTACAGTAATTTTTTAACTCTTGGTAAAAAAATTTAAAACCCTAAATTTACATTTTTAGTTTTGTCACGTAAATATCACTATTCTTCTCACATATCTTCTTACCTAGCTCATGTCATTTTCAACTTAAGGAATGTTCAAATTTATCCAATAGTGTATGTTATGCAAAAAATTATCAAACTTGTTCAAGATCTATGATTCTTTGAGCTGAAAATAATCTAGATTGAATGTAGAAATACACACACAAAAAAAATAAATAAATAAATAAATAAAAGATTGATATTTAGATAATCAAATTAATATTTTACAAAATAAAAAATTTCAAAGTTTAATGTCAATAACTAACCGAATTTGTCTACAGGAGAATAAAAACACCACTTCTTACAAAACTTGAAGATGAAATCTAGAACTGAAATTATTAAAGGATTAACATCACTATTACCATTCCAAACAGTATTAAGGATTAACATCACTGTAACCCCTTTCAAAAAAAAAAACATCACTGTAACCCCTTTCAAAAAAAAACACATCACTGTTACAATTCCAAACAAAAAATCACAAATTCAAACCCTAAACTAAAAAAGTTACAGATTCGAATCCTATTTCAGTTTAGGGATTAACATATTATGCGAAACAACTATTATAAATAGGGATCTACCTTAAATAACAATGCAACTAAAAGACCAAAAGTTATACTATCCCTAAAAACTTTATGTGAATATATATATATATATATATATATATATATATATATATATGCAAAGGCTTCTCTTCTCTCTCACATCACATCCTTGTGTTGCTTGCCATTCCTTTGGTAGCTAAACTGAGCTAATTCATAAAATGTAAAGGTTCTTACAAATCAATAGAATCCAGTAAGGCAGAAATCAAGAAATGGAAGAGTAAGTTCCATAAAGATTTTATACAAAATACAGAAGTTTTGAGAAATAGGAAAAAGCACAATGCATCAAACCCTTGATGAAGAAATCAATCTCAGTTGTTGTTTCCATCAAATAAGGCCTCACAATTAGAGACCCCCCTTTGAGCTTCCTCTCATTCATTCATTCATTCTTGGCCATTTCTGCTTGTCTTGCACCAACAGCGAAGAATTCCGTGATCACCTCGAGGGGCATGCCTTTCGTCTCGGGAACCCGAAGGAACACGAAGATCCACGAGATCACGCACACCACCGCGTAGATCCCGAACACCCCAGCCAGCCCCATGGAACTCAGCATCACGGGCAACGAATAGGTAACGATGACGTCGCATATCCAGAAAACTAGCGCGCATATGGCGATGCACTGGCCACGAACCCTCGTGGGGAAGATCTCCGCGCAGAGGATGTTCGGGATCGGCCCGTAGCCCATCACGAAGCTGCAGAAGTAGAGGATCACGCAGATGGTGGAGAGCACCGCGTGGGCAACGCTGCCGAGGTTGATAACGTTGCCAAGGACGAGTACAACGAGGGAGAATATCAGAACGGGGATTGTGGAGAGCAGCAGTGTCCTGAAATAAATCGTTTTTAGTTTTATCTATTATGGTTTACAGTGTTGCAAAAATCGGCCTAGGCGCTAGGCGGTCCCAGGCGCCTAGCGGTTTTTCCAACATTGATGGTTTATAATCAGTAAAGAAAAGACGAATGAAATTGCAGTTCGTATAAAGGGATCAGAGGAAAAATTAATGTTTAATAGACGCTACCTTCTGCCAGAAACATCCATGAACCGCATAGCAACGGCTATGGAAGGAAGCATTAAAAGGTTCGTAAAAGCACTGATAAGGAAAGACGCAGAGTCCGATCCTAGGCCAAGGTTGGAAAGGAGAACGGATACGCCTGCCTGCTCGAGAATTTGAGGAGTGTAGTACATCACCCCGTTTATACCAGAAAACTGCAAAAACAATATTTCGAATTAGCGGGTGGGTTGGTAAATGGCTTGTAGCTATAAAAGTTATTTTACTTGCCAATAAGAATCAAAATTCATGCGGTTTCATGGAATTTATTTTGATGCAAAAGCAGGAAAACATTGAATTAAAACTTAAGTATCAAAGATAAGTAGGGGCAATCCCAGCCAAGTTGGTCAGACTGTTTACTTGGTAACCACAAGGTTACAACTTATAAGTAAAACTCCCAACAAGAGCGGCCTATTTGGCCTTAATGGTTTGAACCAATCAGCTATGAGCAACCTAAGCTGGTTTACCTCCTTGTGGTCTTTTGCTGGTTAGGGTCACAAGTCAGGGTTCGGGTAGTGGCTAATGATTTCCCTCGTCACCCAAAAAAAGAAAAACTACACCCCACATATTTCAACTTATGAAGGGCGAATAAATAGAAGACAAAATGGTGCTAATGTACATCAAGTAGTGCTTAAAGATGAGGCCATGATTAGTAAATAGTTAGCCTATCAGCCAATTTTGACTTGTTTGACCACTATTAGCTGTTTGACTTGGTTAAACAACCAATATAAGTGTTTGATTAATTAGTTTTTTGTAACAACTTATTGATCCAAAACACTAAAATTCAAAAAGCTGCTCAAAGCAGGTTTTCATTTTGTATGTAATCAGCTATCAGATAACATCTAATTTACCAAACATCTTTCTACAATAAGCTAATGCTATCAACTAATCAAACTAATTAACCCAATCAGCTAACAACTATTTACCAAACACCCCGAGATCTACTCCAGAAAGTGGAGTTCATTTACTAATAAAAACATTGTCCCCACTATAACTATAGGAGAATTGCTTTGTGAAATACCAAGTTAGGTTAGTGCATTAAAATATTAAAAATAGCATGTAATAAAGAGAAATAAAAGTTCTACTAAATTAACAAAGAAAGAAAGGAACCAAAAGATATACCTGCTGCAGAATCTGAATTCCAATTCCAACAATAAGTGCTCGCTTAACACCCGGTTCAAGAAGAGCGGTCCAACTTGGGCCCTTCGAAGCAATTTCCGACGGATGAACCATTGCCGGTCCAACGGGATGCTGATCCAAGAGTTCCTTCGAATAAAGAGCAGGCTGACTTACCAGAGCTGCAGCCTGAATATATTCGCCTTCAACAGGAACATCACCACCGGGTAGTGATAGGAGAGAGCCTCGTTGAGACCCGGGGCCCCCTTCCTGATGTAAATAAATCCTTCTAAAACCTCCTTCTTTCTTCCCATCACCGCCTTCTTTCTCAGACCACTTCCACGCTAGCTGCCAGCCGCCGCCAATACCCATGCTGCCAACCGCATCTCCAGCGTTTCCTTGTATAAGAGTGCTATGGCGTCTCATACTTAGAATGCTCCCGTGGGAGGCGGGTGGGACCATATCCTTTTCCGCAGTTGTCGCCTGGCGGGAGATCAACGGGCTATGTAAATTGTCATCGGAGTCCGCATCCACACCATCGGACCCGTAATCCTCGCCTTCTCTCTGCAGACTTTCCTCGTCCCACTGTTCGTTCCCCTTAGTATGATCCGCGGTGCTTATCATACTGCCAAAGTTCGGGAACAGCATACTTCGCATGCTTCCCGTCTCGGGGAGCTTCTCGTGGACACTGCCAAAGAGAGTGACGAGAGGATCCATAAGAGGAACGGTTTGGCTCGCCATGCTTCCATGCCTCGACACAAGCCCGATACTACTCTGTCCAGTTACCGGTTTGGCAATCCACGATAGACCCTCCTCGGGTCCATACAACTTGATACGATCTTTGTCAGCTGCAAGGTCCTCATCTTCCGGAAGCTCATCAGCCGGACCAATTATGTATTCTTCTATAGACGTCTCACCGCCAACAGCAAGACCTTCAACGAGCAAAGCCATCTCTCCTGTGTGCGAAAGTAGGATCAGTGCAATGTAACAAATTAAATATACATTGTAAGTGGACTTTACTCAATTCGGATCGGGTAATCAATTACTCCATATTATTAGTAGCTTAAAATAAACTATAAGCTCCTAAATAAGCTCTGCCAAACAGATGCCCCAAATTTATTAAAGTGATGTTCAAGCTATCTTTAAGACAGGACAAGTAATTCTTAAGAAATCCAAAATAGCAATTAATTAGATATCTTTATTACGTTTATTAGGCAAACCCGTCTAAAATCACGTAGAACATAGTCAACGTCCACGTAAAGATTCGATCATGAACCGAAAATTCGCATCGTGTGTAATGAAGTAAGAATGGAAAGCATACCCGATACATCTTCTCTGCCACGCAATTTCTGCAAAACTCGTTTGGCCTCTACCATCCTTCCTTTGCTAACAAGCCATCGAGGAGACTCGGGCAAATAAAACACAGTTAGGGCAAAATACAAAAGCGATGGGATCGAAAGAACCCCGAGCATCAATCTCCAGCTCGGCGCTGTCGTCACCGACATTCCAAAAATCATACAATACGCCAAAAACATCCCCCCCGACCCGGTAAATTGGGGAAGGGTATTTAACAATCCTCTAATCTCCGACGGTGCTGTCTCCGATATATAGAGCGGGACAAGAGTAACCGCCAATCCAATCCCGAACCCATCCAAAAGCCTCGCTATTAGTAGGACATAGACATTAGGCGACCACAACATTATCAAACCACTCAGGAAATAAAACATTGACGAGAGAATGAGCATCGGGCGTCGACCAAGCCAGTCGGCTATGGATCCCGAACACGTCGTAATTAGCGTGGCTCCAATGAGAGACATGGCAACCACAAGCCCTTCCATATAAGTTTCCAAAACAAGCTCCTTCTTTATGTAAACAACAGCTCCTAGAATGTTTTCAAAAACACAATTAAAACAACATAGTAGAATCCCCTTTCACCTATAGTTTAAGACCCAGAAAACCCCAAACATGGAAAATGCATTTACTGAAACAACAAAAGAACACAAACCCTTCAATTGCAGACAATTCTATCAAAGCTTAAAACTAAAGACAAGGTTTCAGACAACATAAACTGTTAATGATCTTATGAAGGGTAGGTGAAAAACTAGGTTTAAAAGGAAAGAACAAACAAAGTACCTGCTATGGTGGCATTATCCCAACCCTGCAAAAAGTTCCCAATTGTGGCCGCAATCGCCACTAACACAGCCCCGTTCATTCTCAACAACCCTGAATCCAACTCCAACTAATATGAACTGCAAGCACCAGTAAAACTCAGATCAGTTGTTCCACCAAAAGAGAACAGATCCAATACAGAAGAATCTTGCTAACTTGTAAGAACTAATTTTGATCTTTGCTACAGTAAATTAATGATTACGCCACCAAAAACAAAACAGATTTTAATTATATAAGTAAGAAACCCATCAACATCAATGACACGAAATTATAAAAATAAGAATCAGAGATCCAAAGTGGAAAAGACTGCTCACCTTTGTAGAAACAACAAGGCCAGACCTCAAGGGCTCCCAGGGAAGACTAAATCTGAGATGGAAGCAAAGGGAAAAAAGGGAAAAAACAATTATCCCACAGGTAAACTGGAAAAAAATAAAAATAAAAACAAAAAAATACAGCTAAGTTGCAGCATAAAAGGCCTTGATTGTTGTATATAAGCGCCGGCACATGCTTATCTTTAAATGCAGGGCAAAGGAGCAATTGGGCATCTCTGACGATATATTTGGCATATACTAACTAAGGGGATTAATTTATAAATGATGAGAGATTTGAAGCAAGAAAAAAATAAAATTAAATTAAAAAAAAAAAAACTAACCATAAAAGTATAAACCAAAACCACCCACCCTTCTTCAACTTCTTGCTAAAAGATGACTACTCAAGTACAAAAGCCACTCATCACTCATCAGTCATAAGGCAACTCTCTGCAGAAAAGATTCTCAGAACCCATTAATCAGAAAACACCCAGAAGCTTAAACTGGAAAAGGAGTCAAAATCTGGGCAAAAAGATTCAATCTTTATCGTTCAAGAATCAAGAAGACTACTGGGGTTGAGTAGAACGAAGTGATACGGAGTAGAAGAGAAGAGAGGAGACAATTAGACAAATATGACAGTATAAATGGGGGAGAGATTTGAGAGATGAAATAGACAGAAGCAATCAGTAGAAGGGTGGAGACAGCAGGGACCAACTAAAAGCTTGACCGTCCAATGCATCATATTCGATCTACAAGCCACGTGTCCTCCGATCCCAACTCCTTGTGCTCTACCCCACCTTTCAACAATTTATTTACTACTGTACTTAGACTAGACAAACGATATTATTCGGTTTTACATTTCTCCATCAACTCTACCTGTAGTATTGTGGGGTAGGGAGATCCGTGGTCGAGTAAATGTAGCATGATTCTGATATCTTATTGATCATCAGTATTTAACATTTTACTATTTTGGAAATGATATAATCTTCTGTCTCATTTTATGTGAAAGTTCGATTAAAGTTATTTCTAAATTAAGTTTTTAAATATTCATTCTAGTGTTAGTATTTGACTTTGAGTGACTTTCTTGTGAATATTAATTATGAATAAAGTGTTGGTTACTATTAAGTAAAAAGTGTAATTTTTCTTATTTTAAAATCAAAATGTACAAAATTTTACATTTTGCTTCAAAACTATTATATTTTCTCTTATAAGTAATAAATATTTTATTCCTTATTAGTATTACATTTTTCCTTATAAATATTGTATTTTTATCTTAATCCGATCCATCTCACGAATAAGGATCCGTTAGACGGTCTCATACAAGTTTTTGCCTTTAAATTTATATATTTACAAACTACATGAAAATCTATACTCTATACTATATATAAAAACAAAATCATTAACTTTAACTCCCCGCCCAATTCCTAAAAAATCTCGCTTTCTAATAAAATATATTGTTCTATACTTTCCTATTCGTACTATAATTCTAGATTAAAATTCCTATTCTAATATTATAAAATAGTGTAACACAATTCCTAATAGAATATATTGTTTCCTACTTTCGTATTCGTACTATAATTCTACATTAAAAATCTTATTTGTAATACAATAAGACAATCTATATCTATATATAATCCATATCTATCTATATATCTATATCCATCTAGGTCTATATATATATATATATATATATATATATATATATATATATATATATATATATATATATATATATATAAAATTAAAAGTGAAATTCTCCTTCTAGCAATTTCCCGCCCAAACTCTAGTCAAATTATTTAATTATGGTAAACTATGAAATAATTAATTATGGTAATAGAAATCCTGGAAGAATATATAGAATACAAGAATATCTAATTATGGTTATATTATTATTGTGCCTCACGGAATAGAATAGAATATATATATATATATATATATATATATATATATATATATATATATATATATATATATATATATATATATAGAGAGAGAGAGAGAGGGATGCACTCAGGTGCGAATAAGTGCCCAGGAAGGAATATGCGAACGAATCAGCGCGCAACATGTGTCCAAATCTAATAGCTTAAAAAAACGCGGTGGCATTTTCGTAAATAATTGAAATCGAAGTGCAAGTAAAATCACTTACAAGTGCACCTACTTTCACATATAAGTGCATGTAATTTTGACTTGTTAGCATTCACTTCCCGCAAACATTCATGCACCTGGGTGTGCTTATAACTACAGGTGCAACTGTTTATAATTATAGGTGCAACTACTTATAACTATAGGTGCACCTACTTTCACCTATAAGTGCATGTAATTTTGTCTTGTTAACATTCATTGATCTGAGTTCAGCGGGTAGTAATACCGCTGAAAACCACCCGCAAACATTCATGCACCTAGGTGCAACTACTTATAACTATGTGTGCAACTACTTAGAACTATAGGTGCAACTACTTATAACTATAGGTGCACTTAGTATTGATCCTCAATGTAAATTTTTACTTGCACCTATAATACATTTTACATGCACTTGTAATACATTTTACTTGCACTTCGATGTTCAATTATTTACGAAAATGCCATCGCGTTTTTTAAAAAAATCAGTGTTTCTCATCCATTAGATCTGGACACGTGGACGAACAGAATCCATTCTTATTTCGCTCCTGGGCGAAGCATTCGCATGTGAGTGCAATTATATATATATATATATATAATTAAAATTAAAAGTAAAATCCTCCTTCTAGCATTTTCCCTCCCAAACTCATTGTATTGATCAAATTATTTAATTATGGTAAACTATGGAATAATTAATGATGGTAATAGAAATCCTAGAAGAATATACAATACAAGAATATTTAATTATGGTTATATTCTTATTGTGCCTAACGGTCATTATATACTAATAGAACTTGACAAGAAAATGATAATAATATAACTGGTAATAATAATAATAATAATAATAATAATAATAATAATAATAATAATAATTTAAGAATTATAACATAGATTTCCTCATCTAATTTGTCATTTAGAAAAGCGGTTTTCACATCCATTTGATGAACTTCCAAATTCTGCAACGCGGCTATGGCAAGTATCATCCTAATGGAGTTTATTCTTGTCAGGGGTAGGGGTGGAAATAGGCCGGGCCGAGCCAAGCTTTAGAAAATTAGGCATGCGTCTGTTACGAATATCTAAGGCCTGAGCCTGTATGTAGGCTTTTTGTTAGGCTCAAGCCTGAGCCTACAATTAGTCTGGTCTGGCCTAAAGCCTTTTTTAAAGCTTGTTTAGTATGTATGCCATTAAAAAGGCTTCAAAGTAAGTTATTCTTTGAGTTTAAAACCTATATATTAAGTCTTTTTTAAAACTTTAATAAGTATTTCTAAATAATTTAAGAAATATAGCTACATAAATACATCGCCACAATGCAAACATAATAGTATTAAAGCATATATATAAAATAAAATAAAACAAGTCACAACTTCAACATGCTTGTTAACTTATTTAGGAATGAATTCAATTGTATCATCATATATAATCTCATAAATAGTTAACAATTAACTCACATAATTAAGTCGTGACAATTCATTAAATATTTAACGGTAAGAACAATTAAACAATAAGAACACTTATAATATGATTAATAACAATGTTTATAGTTCAATTATAATTTAGAATGCGATTTTGGAGGTAGAGGGTTAGGGTTTGATAATTATATATACTGGGAATTATATTGTAAATATAAAAATATATTAGGTATAAAATATATAGAATATATACTAACTTAATATTACAAATAAATTATATATATGCGTGTAAATAGGCTAGGCCTGTAGGCATGAAGGCCGAGCTGGGTATAAATATGCCTGGCCTGTTTAGTTTAATATGCTTCAAAATGAGCCCAAGCCTGGCTCTTTACTAAACAAGCCAGGTCTATGTAGGCATTAAATAGGCCGGGCCTTAGGCCCCTACGAAGGGGTCTGGCCTATTCCCACCCCTAGTCACGGGAGAATACGTGTCGAAGTAATCAAGGCCCTCGTGTTGCTTATAACCGTTGATTACAAGCCTAGCCTTATACTTCTTAACGGAACCATCAGTTTTCATCTTCCTTTTAAAGACCCACTTGAATCCTAAGGGTTTACTACTCGGAGGAAGATCAACAAGTTCCCAAGTGTGATTCTGTAGAATATAATCCACTTCACTCTTTATAGCCTCTTTTCACATTGGTCCTTCCATAGAAGTCACGACTTCTACATACGTTCGAGGCCCATTCTCTATCAAACAAGATAGAAAATCGGGTTCATTTTCTAATAAACAAGTTAGAGTACCCAAATCATACTCTAACATGTAAGTTAGAACATCAGGACCAAATGATTTTTCAACTTTTGCCCGCTTACTACGTCTCGGTTCGAGCTCGGGTTCTTTCTCAGATTTTTCACTATCGTTATCCATAGTTTCATCAAATGTCTGTTTTGACGTACTTGGTCCCTCGTTGGACTTACAAGGAAATACATTTTCAAAGAAATATGCATTCCTTGATTCTATTATCGTGTTCTCATATACGTCCGGATTATGGGACTCGTGTACTAAGAACCGATAAGCACTATTGTTATGTGCATAGCCGATAAAGATACAGTCCATCGTCTTAAGACCTATCTTCACTTTCTTAGGTGTTGGCACCAAAACTTTGGCAAGACACCCCCACACTTTCAGGCACTGGTAAGAAGGTTTCCTACGGTTCCACAGCTCATAAGGAGTATTATCAAGCTTCTTGGAAAGTACCTTATTTAAAAGGTAATTACTTGTCAAAATTGCATCACCCCACATACTCTGAGGTAGGTCCGAACTTATAAGCATCGCATTCATCATATATTTCAATGTACAATTCTTTCGTTCGGCAACACCGTTCGATTGAGGTGTGTAAGGTGTCGTATGCTCGTGTATGATACCTACACTTGCACAAAAGTCACTGATAGGTGTGATAAGTGCTTATTTGTTTATATTTTTCACCTTTTTCACTAATCTATTTTGCATATAGATCATTCCAAATTCCATGAGATTAGACTAAATTGTATTATTTTGCAAGGAGTTTGGTTTGAAAAGCTTTGGAAGCAAAAATGAGTAGTTTCATGCACTTTGGTGGTCATTGGAGTCAAAAGAAGCATTTTGGATGGATTAGGAGTCCATGGGAGCCAAGGAGAAGCTAAGAGGATGGACAAAACACTTCCAAGAGAGCCTAAGAGTGGTGTATTCAATGGTCTTGGCCATTTGGGCAAACCAAAGCAAAATAGAAGAAAAAGATCAATGCATTGTGATTCCCGACCTGCACGTCGATGTCTTAATTTTTGGACTGTATCTCAGCCTATGAATGTCCAAATATAGTGATTTTTGCGCCGTTGGAAAGAAGACTCGAAGGGCTACAACTTTCATGAAGATATCAAAGCCTAATTTTGAAGATAAAGTGGTCAAAATGAGCCTACAAGCCGGAGTTACGTTATAGAGAAGCACTCGACGCGTCGAATCTTGCCAGAAACTCGCGATTTTCATGCTGTAAATTCTCGACCCGTCGAGCCCCCATCTTTGCTCCTTTTGAGCTGAGTTTTCACTCATTTCTCCATGGTTTTTGAACCCTAG